GGAGAGAAATTTCACATTTTCCAGTAATATAATTTGAAAATTCAATTGCATTTATGACCTTCTTTCACTTTTCTGTTAGGTACACAACAAAATATGTTGTTATCCAACGCTCTAAACAAGTTGCAATAAGTGTGTTAATCAATCTTACCAACACAGTTTCTTTAGGAAACATAATCAACAAAAGCAAAGAATAGATTTAATTGCTAAAATATTTTTCTTTAGATACCCGGGTCTTATGTGAATGTGGCAAAGCAAGATGGATGGATATCCTGAAAAATAAGTGTTCATAAACTCAAAAAAAACGCAGTAAGGCCATATTTTTGCCATAATATTCTCGAACAGTAAAAGTTGCCATTGTTACGGTTTTGCATCACGATTTATCTAACGCAGTTTTACTTGCTAACTGCATCAATGAACTGCCAGAGGGTGCTTCACAGGAGTAAATTGAGAATTATGATAAAACAGATGGTTTCTAATCTACTTTTCAAGTAATACCGGGTTCTAATCGCTCGCTTTGTATCCATCATTATATTAAACTTTCTAAAAAGTATTTTTGTCGATATTTTTCATTACTGTGAAAGGTAACTTTCTCTTTATCACGAAGTTATGCGAGATTACCATCAGTCCGTAAAATAAATCTAATCAGCCCAAAATTATGTTTTCATTTAATTTTTCCTTGCTTTCCCCTACTTTCCGGAGTTGATTAATTTTCAATACATATTTTTCTTTTCAAAGTCTCCTTCAACAGAAGTAAACAATCCTTAGAAACTTGAAATTAATCTACTTAAAATGAATTTTTAATGCATAGACATCCTGCGGCAATGTTAGGCCATATTTTTTAAATCAAAACTTTTTTAACTAAAAAGCAGAATACCTATATCTTCTTGTACAGGCACAGTAAAACATAACAGAAAAATAAGTTTTTCGATATTTGAGATTTGCATTTTAAACTTTAAACAAATAATTCTTTATAGGAGAAAACATAGAACTTGAAGTTATTTTATATTTTTAAAAGGGATATAGTTTATTTATAAACATACTTTACATCTACCCGACGCCATGAAATGTTCCTAAACATTCCAACGGAGGCAGTTAAATAAATTTGCGTAGCCATTATTAAATTAAAGTGGCAGATTTTGGTTTCGGCGGTCTCGCATACCTTTAACCACAACCATTTTCAGCTGAAAAATACTTTTCAGGAGTCGGGTACACGCTTGAACGAGCCAGCCTGCTTGCCTTTATTAGACGGAGATTGCGATATTCCGAACAGTTTTGCTCACTGTAACGAGATGGTATAAAATGTGTCTTTGACAATAAAAACATCCTCTATTTGCTATTATATTCAAATTAGTTAATACTATAAACTATTATGAAGCATTAACCTATAAAAAAATAATAAATTATTTAACGAGATCAGCTCATATACAGGGTTTGGCGTGTATAATATATAAAAATTACACTACAGCTTCCTGATGATATTTGTAATAGAAAAGCATTATACAAAAGAGTTCTACCTTCGCGTTTTTTTTTTTGTAAATTCATTTATTCAACGAAAATGAAAGCCGACCCTGTGTTATTTATTAAAAATTTTAGAAATGTTTTTATGCGACCCGAGATGCAACCTTATAATTTAAGTAGGTATAATTTAATGCTTGTATGTAATACTAAAAGAAGGTTAGGTTACCTTGTCAAAAAATTTGTGCAGTCAACTGATTTTGTATTAGTATTGAATTCATTATTCACTTTATTATTAAATATTAAGCATCGTCCATAGACCCATCAGTGTTAAAAAGTGAAAGGTTCCAGACAAAAGTTTTTATTTTGTAATTCCACGATAGCGACAGTGAAATTTTTATAAAGAAGTAAAAAATAAGAATTACATTAAGAACGAGATTCTTATTTCTTACTTTGCTTAATTTTTAAGTTTGTGCAAAAACTAGTTTTACAATAAATCTTGAAAACAATGCATTTACTATTTCCGAACGTGTCAATATGGTGTTAGTGTATGGTGCAGCTGGAGAAAATGCGCTCGCGGCGACTAGGTTGTACCGGGAACGATGGCCACAACGTCACCCCCCATGTGCAAATACAATCCTACAGTGCGTTCAGCGGCTGCGAGATACGGGAAGTGTTATTCCTCGAGGAGAAGGACGTGGTCAGCAAGTGAACCTTAATGTTGAAGATGCAGTGTTGGAAAATCTTGACGAAGACCCCACAATTAGCACTCGACGACTCGCACAGCAAGTAGGAACCTCATCTCGTACCGTACATCGCATCTTAAGGCGCCAGCTGTTGCACCCCTATCATCTGCAACCAGTTCAACAGATTTTACCCCCGGATTGTGATCAACGAATGCGTTTTTGCAGATGGTTTTTACGGCAATGTGCCAATCAAGTAGACTTTCCTGCTTATGTTTGTGTAACAGATGAGGCGACATTTACCCGTGATGAAGTGAATTTCCATAATATGCACATATGGGCCGATGAAAATCCTCACGCGATTAGGGAAACTCATTTTCAACATCGGTTCTCGGTAAATGTTTGGGCTGGCATAATAGGCGATGTACTTGTGGGTCCCTATTTCTTTGAAGGACGACTAAATGGACCAACATATGCTGACTTTTTGGAGAACCGGTTGCCTGAATTATTGGACGATGTGGCATTACAAGTTCGGGCACGCATGTTTTATCTTCAAGATGGGGCTCCTCCACACAGTACTCGAGAAGTAACGACACTTTTGAATGAAATGTTTCCTCAGCGATGGATTGGACGCTTTGGTCCTGTGCCGTGGCCACCTCGGTCACCCGATCTAACTCCAATGGACTTTTATCTTTGGAGTCACTTGAAGTCATTGGTTTACAATACTCCAATTGCTACGGTGGAAGAATTGCGAAACCGTATACTTGAAGCTGCTGACACAATTAGGGGAATACCTGGAATTTGGGAAAATATTCGCCAAAATTGGGTGCGTCGGTGCCATGCCTGTATCCGCGCTAATGGGGATCAATTTCAACATTTTCTCTAGAAATGGTAAGTTTTATTTCATTTTGTTCCATATTTTAATGGAGTTTGTTTAGTGCACGCAGTTGGCAACTACAGATGCTTACGGATGTGGTTTTGTTTGCGAACTCTTGCAGTAACAACAATGCATTTAAGATAGTAATTACTATTAATTATTATAATAAGAAAATATCAGTTTTTTTAATATCTATTTTTCTTAGTGTAACCTGAGGGGTTATTTCTTTAATTATTATCTACCTTTAATTAATTATCTATTTAATTCTGGAAAGAGTTACTATTTAATAACTCGAAAGAGTTACTACATAATTCTCGAAAGAGTTACTACTTAATTCTCGAAAGGGAGTTTATTATCATTAGATATACTTTAATTGACACGTGGGAACTTAGAAATGTTGTATGTTCAGAAAATTACTTCCAAGCACTTACCCTTTAATTGCTTACGTGAGATGTAATCCAGTGGCTGGCTATACAGGGTAGCACTGAAGTTGGAGAAACAAAAGGAAACACAAAATTTCCGGGAAGGGTTTTATTAACAATAAACAAAACAAACAAACAAACAAAATAAAAACACAACGGCTCGACGACATTATTAATTAACTGATTCAATCGCGACAGCGTACCGAGAATCAGAGAATGCGCGCTCTATACAAAATTTGGAAAAACTGTCAAAATTAATTAATTAGCCCGGGACTCTAAAGTTAATAATTAGTCTGCTCAATGTGAAACCTAAGAACGAACTGCCGTTTTCTTTCAGATCCTTCTCGAATTCCACAATTCGCTTTGAACACGTCCATTTCTTGGGTCCAAAAGTTTCGGTTCTTATCTTATTGGCGGGGACCTGAACATCGGGATGCTTTAATAATTATCTAATTGACTGAATTTACATTTATAACAATAATTATATGACTTACTAGTAACCCTAGCCTTCCCCTATGACTCCGCGTAGCAATTACGGGACGGATTAGTCGGTCTTATTTAATCTACTCTTATAGCTAGGAAAAATCCGTCAAAAAAACCCAGCTGCTTAGGTATACTCTCTTTTCGAATTAATATCAATTTTACAATATAATTTAATTCTAATTTGGAATCTCCACGCTCTTCTTGTGGTTTCGCGCGTTATTAAATATCGATTTTTTTCTCATACTAGACGCTTAACACATGGCCCCGACTCTAAGCGAACTTGTTAAAATATTGGCAAATTTCTCCGAAGGACGACCTTGGCGACCTACTTGAAACCCATTAACCCTCCGATAATTTGTGACGACTGAAATATCTTACTTTCCGTTCCGGGAACTAATAAATAAATGACCGCGCGTCCCGACTTTTGTTACATTAGTTTGTACTTTTGCATTGAAAAATTCCCCAAAAATTGAGAAGGAAAGAGATATTTCCTTTAAAAGTTTATATTACCTATTTGATTTATTTAATACAGGTCAGATATAATGATTGCTAGATATTGCGAGTGTAAATCAATGCTGCACAGCTTTGATTGTATTATACAACACATGTTTTTCTATTTCTTTTAATATATAATGTACATATCCAATAGGCATTGGACATGGTAAGTCTATTTATCAACTCAATAAATGTATGTCTAAAAATAAATATCCCGCTGATGTTTTTGATACGGTGCTTGTGTCCGATATGAAAGACAGAAAATACGGAGACGTACCCAATCATTCAGACATTATTTCAGGAGGTATTTTGTTTACCACCGGCAAATATAATATATTGTCGACAGGAATCCAAATGAAATATATTTCTAGCTAGGGAACAAACGAAAAATATCCAGCTTGAGCCAGACCGCCTGTTGAGCGGTATCCAAAGCGTACCGTACAATTTATCAAACAATTCAACACTTTCTTGGCCATTTTCCGAATTCCCGGCTGAAATATTTCTTTGTAATTTACACCATCTGCATTCCATGCTCGAAATCTTAAAAATATTTGTTCTCTAGCCCACGCCTCTCCTTTGTTTCAGGAGGACGTGCACCTGAAACTTTGACGTCCTGAATAATGGGAATCCCCCGCCTGTATGGGAGCGGTCAGAACGGTTCTAACGGAGAGCATAACCACAAGTAAGTGCTTTTTTCTGTGTTCCCATTTCTCGTTTCTTTTGTTGATAACGCTCAAGTGTCAAATTTGAAACGTAGAAGGACAAAAGTATAGAAATAGCAATTTTGAACATGAAAAACCATTGTACCTAGCTGACAGAATGAGGAAAATCTAAAATGAATTGTAATATCACAACTCCACAAAGAAAGTCTTGCGCAAATGACCAGAATTAGTCCAGGAAACAGTTGGACGCGACTTTTTGTTTCGGCTAACTGAATTTATCACTATAGATGCTAAATATTATGTACCTACAATAACATATTAGTTTCCACAGTCATAAAAATTGGGGGAAGATTGTTTACATGGTGGTTAATTGTATAATTTTTACGTAAATTCAGGTTTTTCGCTTATAACTTTTTTCCGATCATTTCCACGAGAAAACAGTAAAGTATGTTTTTTTTCATCTTCAAAAGACCTACAAAACAAGGCCTCGAGCGTCAAAAAATATTGATTAGATCAAAAGTTATAAACAGAAGAAGTTTATTTATGACTTTTGAATTAAACATTTATAAACTGCGTTATTATTACTAGAACGTTTTGGCATCGCGTTCTCTCATTCCTTATCACTGTCTAATAACTCACACGAAATCTGGAATCGGTAAGTTGAATAGTTTACAATTTATGGCCTTATAAACAAATTAACTAATTATTAGTCTGGACTATCCCGAGCATCTTCCACAATCACATTGAAATCTATAATTTTTTTTAATTTCAAATTTGCAACCTGGATTTTTTTTATAGCCTTAATTACGCACGCGCATGATATAGTTATATATTATTACATATTCGGAAAGCTTATGAAAAGAGCTTCAAGTTAAAAAAAATCGTCAAGATTTGTTGATAAACAACGGAGTTAAAGACTGTCAAATATATTATTTTCATACGAATTTCGCTTATTTAACGGCAGGCCTATGAATATTATCGTCATTTTCTTCAGACTCGCTGTCGTTCGCTTCCCCCACCCTTCCGCCGCCCCACGGCTCGCCAAAAATCAAGCGACCCATTGACTTTTGACAATATTTCTTATGCACTTAACATACTTCCACAAATAAAATATTTTTATCTGGGAAAGTACTGGGGTTGCCGGTTATGACAGTATTTTTTTGCCGCTACCAACCTAATTTCTTTAACAATAGGCATTTTCTAACCTTAAACAGTTCGAGTACTTTATATCGAAGAAACCATCAGTATTTTCTTCCTTACCACAAGACTAACAGTTAATAGATGATTAGCGTTGAAAAACACTGATTATTTAGAAGATTAACAATAAATTCAATGTCTCTGAATTGACGGGTCGTATCGGTCGGAAATCTAAGAAAAGGGAAAGTAATTTTGATCAAATGGAAGTAAATATTAATATTTCTAATAACATTTACCTGTGACGTCAGCTTCTATCATTCTGGATCGCTCGGTATTTTGAGCCGCTGAATCCGAATCCGATGTGAGAATTGCCCCAGCAAATCAACATCTTATTTTTTACATTTTTCAAATTTATAGTCTTTCTGTTGGTACTCGAGATAATAAATTATCATGAGATAAGATTTATTCGTATTATGAACATAATAGCACTTGAGAAAGCTTTAAGGGATACCCGATCAATCACGAAATCGGAAATTTTCTGTAATCGTTTCTTAAAAAAAATGTTATTTATGATATAAGTAATTTAATCTATCGCTTTATGCTGCTTAAACGATGCCGCAAATGCAAGGATAATTTATCTACAATTTCCCGTACCATAAACTAAACATCTTTATCTACTGCATCCATATTTAATAGCTGCAAAATGTGACTGAAGTGCTTAACACACCTAAGGATTATGGAGCGGTGCATACTGGATATAGAGAGCTCGTGTTGAATTTATAATCATTTACCTAAATAAGGAAGAGCTTATTAATACACACAGCTCTTGCATTGTAATAATTAGTACTAAACATCCAACATATATGTAGGGGTAAACGGGGCATTTTTATAAAAAAAAATGAAAGATCTTAAAACTTTGTATTATAAATTAAATAATGGCAAGTGTTCAAGTATTGAAGTATTAATGTTTTTGCAACTGGAATTGTCAAAAATCGTAATTAATAGTAATCGACAACGACGGTAGCTGAGGAAATAAATATCATTTAAAAGTCCTCTAATGATGGGTAAATAATAAAGTAAATTGTAATTCTTGAGATAGTGAAATAGGAGCTTTGTCCTTTCAATGATACATTCAATTGTAATTTTACAATAAAATTACATTTGTTTGTACAAATTTTAAACTTGCAGCAAATGTAATATGCCATTAATATATAACCTTCACTAATTGTTGTAATTTTACAACTTCCTTGCAGTGTACTTTACCCCTATTTCTCCTACCGAGGCACCGCTATATTATAATTTCCTATAATCAAAATCCATTTCAATTCCTCGAGTATCTTCTCAGTATCGTCCTACCTAGTAGTGGTGATTACCTAGTAAATTACAGACAATAAACTAAACGGGCAGATAAGGCAAGATATAAAAATTATTAATACATTCACCATTAATTAAAAAAACGTCTGAAAATATTTATAGTGCTTTTAATACATTTATTGCTAATTACATGTGTTTACCCGATGTGGATTTATTTCGGAGCGAAATAGAGATAAACTTCAGGCTGTTAATAAAGTAGTAGTTGAAACGACGTCGTATAGTGTGTTGCTGTTTGTAGACTCGTCGATTTGGATAGTTCTTAGCAAAGTGATGAAGCGACAGCAGGTTAAGGTGAGATAAATAAGTATCATTTAAGAGTTTCAGGATATGTGACGATTATATTATGTACAAAAATCACATGAAATCGGTCTTAAAATAGTATTCTTGTTTTTTTATATCCTAACCATGTTTTTACTTTACCAAAACTTATATTACCTTCACAACTTCTTAAGTAATTGTTTACCTGAGGGTAACTTTTTTTTCTTCTTGATATGTGTTACTTGTTAGAAAGCTCGTGATTTAAGGCGAAAGTTTTTCCCAAATGTACAATTAATAACCTCATACAAAAAAATTATTATTATCAGTATAACAAGCTTCGTAAAAGTTCTTGTTTTCAACAACAAAAGTTGTAATTGTCATTTTTATAGAGATATGGTCTACTTCAGTTTAATTTTTGAACAAACGTTGTGGTAGAATACAAATAAATACAAATTTAAATAAAAATTCATAATAATACCATGAAATTATAGATTTTTTTTATTAAAAATGGCAATTTTTTTGCTGAACTCTCAGCAACACGCTCACAAACTGCTTCCATATTTTGTGTTGGACGACTTTTTGAAGATCGGCCAGAGTGTTTAAGATCACTAATTGATCCAATCACTATTCCGACCATATTTTGTACGAAAATTGCAAGCTGTAGCTGCTAAACTTTCATCATTTTAAAAACATTGGTCAACAATGAAAACGCGTTGTTTTTCCATGTAGAGATCTATCTTTAATAACCCTGACTGTCAGCCACGACGTTGTCTTTTTTTCATTGGCAACACTGCCGCAAAATGGCGCAAAATTCAAATCTTACGCGAATTTTGGGGTACCTGATACTTTCTCAGATCTGTGATATCATTCAGCATCATATTACACCTGGAAAATATTTAAAATTGTATACGAAATGCAGAATTCACACGAACACGCGGTTTGTCAAAATCTGACTCATCAAAATATTGACTGATAACGTGGATCTTGACTCACAGTGAATATATGAAACGATAAGAGAAAGGTTAATCTCTTTTTTAATATATCTAGGTTATATCAACGTAATAAATCAAATTTATTATATAGTTTTAATATTACCGTTAAAAAAAATAATTTAATTATTTTAATAGCAATATAATGTGATAATATTATTTTAATAGCAATATAATAATTTTAATAGCAATATACAATAAATTTAATAAAAATATGTTGTATATTTTTAATACTATGAAAATTTATATTTCGGTTTATATTTTAATTTTTATGATAAAATACCTGATAAAGAACCAAGTTAATATCAGGTAATCAAATCATATACACAACATTATAACATAAAATAATTGCATTATCATAAATAAGTTTATTTTTTAGGGTTAGTACAGGGTGTTGTACAGAAAATAATATATAGAATAATTTAAAAACGAAGCGATTTTCTAGGTTGCAAAACAAAACGTTATTTTAAAAATATATTCCCAGTTAACCTAAAATAGTAATAATTTGAAGTTTGGTATTCATTAATAATAAACATTGAGAACAAAATCTAAAAAAATGTTCCATCGACATGTGTTCAAAGGTACTTTAAATCTCAAAATAATATTTTGCCCTCAATCCGTCAAGGTAACTTAAAAAAGTTTTTTTTTTAAATTACTGATATTTTTTGCAGCAGTTTAATTTCCAATGATGCCATCTTTGTTTTCTTCCCTGATGATGGCATAATAGCCGAAACTAGTAGGAAAGTTTTTTATACTGAATAAAAAAGACTCATTTTTTTCAACTCTAGTTGAATCAACGTCTCTAAATCATGATAAAATAAATAAATTCTGTTTTCCACAAATCCTTTTTCACTTAATTCCCGATATCAATTGAAGCTCTGTATAATTCCTGCGGACATGTATTTATATTTTACGTTGCAGGTCCTTTATTTCTTCAGAGTTTGTTCCTTTGAACGGAAGTCCGCCTTAAAACCATTCTCATTTCAGCTTGCTCCATTAAAAATTTTATATTACAGATTTCTCCTTTAATAATCGCTAAGCGAGGGTATGCGGTTATGGGAACAATACCCGTACACCCTTCACCCTTCCCCATAATTACAATGTCATTGAATGGAAACAATACCTTCTGTCTTGCTGCAATTTAGTGGGGCAATTATTCTTTGGGTTTCGATTGTTGTCGTCGTCTGTTAGAGAGATATTTACAGCATTCCAGCCTGCTTAAATTCATGAACTTGCAACCTTTTTTCAGATCATTGGATTGT